AGAGCGCTCCCCTTGAGCTGAAGAGCTGAGGGACAGCTCCCAGGCCCAGAGTTCAAGCCCCATGACCGACAAAAAAAAAAAAACAACAACAACCATTAGTAGCCAGGTGCCAGAGAAAGAGAGGTGGGGGGAGAGGGAGAGGGAGAGAGAAAGAAAGAAAAAAGGAAAGAAAGAAAGAGAAAAAGAAAGAAGGAAGGAAAGGAAGAAAGAGAAAGAAGAAAAGAAAGAAAGAAAGCAAACTAGCTTAAGGATCTTGTGTTACTAAAGTGTGACTCTTGTTTGATTTTCCCTAACTAACCTTATTTCTTTGTCATTTTTTCACAAGGGGGAAAGCAAACAAAGATAGCTCTGCACCAATATTGTTGCTGAAAATTATTTCTTCCCAGTGAACTGAATTTGTCCTAGAGGATGTTACAATCATGTTCTGTAGAATTTTGGCATCTACTATATATATATATATATATCTCGACATATTATATACATACATATTTACATATATGTGTATATAATACACATTTTATAAATCTTATTTTTAATATAGATAATAATATACTTATATAAGTCAGGAGTTTTTGAAAAAACAGAAGTAGAGAATTTTCTTGAATAATTTCCTCCAGTATAAATTAATGTAACACATGAAACTAGATAGACGGTATCATAAAAATTTAAATATAGTTTCATGGAGGAAAAAAAGAAGTCCAACATGTGAAAAGCATGGTCTTCTTCAGGGCTCACTGCTGGGGCTTGGTGCTGCTGGCTTGGCGTGAGAGTCTAAGAGCTGAGCCAGGGGCTGACTGGCAGCCCATGAAAGGATGACCACCTTCTCACCACTGTCACAGTGACCCTTTAAGAATGCAAACTGATGCGGCTCAGAAGTTGGCTCAGTGGTAGAGCGCTTGCCCTGCATGCATGAGGCCCTGGGTTCAATTCCTCAGCACCACATAAGCAGAAAAAGCCCCAAGTGGTGCTGTGGCTCAAGTGGTAGAGCGCTAGCCTTGAGCTGAAGAGCTAAGGGACAGCACCCAGGCTCCAGGACCTTCCCCTCCACAAAAAAAAAAAAAAAAAAAGAATGCAAACTGAAATCCAGGGTCCTGGTGGCTCAGGCTGGTAATCTTGTCTACTTAGGAAGCTGGGATCTGAGGATTGAAGTTCAAAATCAGCTCCTGGCTGGAAAGTCTTTATCTCTTATCTCCAATTAACCACCAGAAAGCCAGAAATAGAGCTGTAACTCAAAGTGGTAGAATACTAGCCTTGAGCCAAAGAAGCTCAGAGATAGCACCCAGGCCCCAAATTCATGCCCCAGGACCAGCACCAAAATAATAATAATGATTATTATTATGCAAACTCTTTTTTTTTGTCAATTGTGGGTCCTCAACTCTGGGCCTGGGCACTGTCCCTCAGCTCTTCAGCTCAAGGCTAGTGCTCTACCAATTGAGCCACAGTGCCACTTTGGCTTTTTCTGCTTCTGTGGTGCTGAGGAATCAAACCCAGGGCCTCATGCATGCAAAGCAAGCACTCTACCACTGAGCCACCTTCCTAGCCAATAATGCAAACTCTTAATATTACCTCCTGCTTACAATATATATCAGTAGATTCCCATCACCTGAAAGGAAGAGTACCTGCCCTCTATCACGTTCATAGGGGCTTCCTTCTGCCTTCTTTCCAGTCCTTCATAAGCTTCACCCCCAGCCATAATGAATTGCCCTCTCCCTCCCCTCCCCCTCTTCTCTCCCCTCTTTCTGCCTCCAGCTCCCCACTCTTACCCCCAGGCCCATTCCCCCCTCCACTTCTACTAACTTGAATAGCTTATCCTCAGCCTCAACCTTTTGTGTTTGTTTTATCGATTTGGGGTTTGGGTTTTTTGGTTGGTGTTGGTTTTGTTGTTGTTGTTTGTTTGTTTTAGATAGAGTCTCACTATGATTTCCAGGCTTGCCTTAAGTCTATAAACCTTGTGTCCTCATCCACCTCCCTACTGCTGAGATTACAGGCATGTACCACCACCTTGGCTTCTTTCTTCCTTCCTTCCTTTCTTTTACCCTCCCTCCCTTCTTCCCTTCTGTGTTTCTTCCCCGTTGTCTCTCCCCATCCCAGCTCTCTGCATTTCCCTCTCCCTCTTTTCTTTGTGTTGGGGATCTAACCCAGGTCTTTGCACATGCGTGGCAAGTACTCATCTCGGATCTACATCCCTGCCCTGGTGACATCTTTTTACTTTCACATTTGCCTTGTGTTTGCCTTCCACTGAGTTCCCCTTTCTTACCTTTAGTAAGAAAAAGCTTAAGCCCCAGAGATGCTTCTGGTCCTAGGTAAGAGATAGCCTATTCTTTCCTTTCTCCAGTATGCACCAGGACACAACAGGGTATGTCTGCCTCCTCATTCAGCCAGCCAAGAAATCAGATGCTGGATGGTATACATTGTCAGCCAAGAATGACGCTGGCATCGTGTCCTGCACTGCCAGGCTGGATATATATGGTAAGTGTAATTTCCTTAGTGGAACATCTGTGTGTGATAAACAGCTTTAAAATTATTTCTAGTGGGTAAATACAGCATGTTTGTAATAAACAGATGAGATGGATCACACTATATTTTAGTACTAAAGAGCCAGATCTGGAGCCAGGGAAGGCTCAGAGGGGGAGATTGGGATTCAAAGCCAACTGGGACAAAACAGTTCACCAGAACCCTTTTCAACCAAGAGTGGATCCCAATGGGGCACACTTGTCATGATGAGAAATCTCACGCAGGTGGATCATCTGAGTAGAAGCTGAACACCATCTCAAAAATAACCAGCAGCTGAGCCCTAGTGGCTCACACCTGTAATCCTAGCTACTAAGGACTATGAGATCTGAGGATCGCAGTTCAAACCCAGCCCGGGGAAGGAAAGTCCATGAGACTCTTATCTCCAATTAGCCACCAGAAACCCAGAAGTGGAGTTGTAGCTAAACATGGTAGAGTACTAGCTTTGAGTGAAAAAGCTCTGGGGTAGCTTTCAGGCCCTGAGTTCAAGCCCCACGACTAATAAAAACAAACCCAGCAACCTGAACTAACCTGTCAGAGAGAGCATTTGTGGATAGCCCTGGGGGAAAAGAAGTTTGCAAGGCTCCATCCTATCCAATGGCTAGGTACAGTAATGTTCATCTACTATCCCAGCTGTGGGGGAAGCAGGATGGCTGGGCACAGTGGCTGGCTACTGGTTGTCCACTGGAACTCTCCCCTGCTGGAATTTCTCAAATATTTTCTCCAGAACCCATTCATATGTTTATTCATTCAATTAACATGCATTGCTCCAATCCCCCAATCAGACTTCCTTATTAATAGAGCTGCAATATGATGATAATAATAGTATCAGGTAACATTTGAATGTTGTATGTGATTACTTCTTGGATCCTCTCTGGTTCATAAGATCACAGTAATTATCACTAGCTTCATTTAAATAATGAAGTGGGGCTGAGAATTTGGCTTAGTGGTAGAGTGCTTGCCTAGCATGCACGAAGCCCTGGGTTCAATTCCTCAGTACCACATAAATAGAAAAAGCCGGTAGTGGCTCAAGTGTGGCTCAAGTGATAGAGTGCTAGCCAATCAGGGACAGTGTCCAGGCCCCAGGACTGGCAAAAATAAAATAAATCAATAAATAAGAAATCAAGACTCCTTCAGAGAGGTTAGTGACTACAGCTAGGAAACAGGTCTTTGTAACACTCCTTTGAGCCATATTTCTAAACTTCAAAAGGTTTTTGTGCCTCAGCCTGTTGAGTAGATTACAGGTATGTGCCACAGTGCCCAGCTAAGAGATTCCTTAGTGTTACAGGTTCTCAAATTTGATTTTCTCAATGCATTCGGAGGAACTTAGACTCTGAAATCCTGATTAAAGATAATGAAATTAAGAAAGGGTCAGTCTAGAAATCAGAGTGCTAAATTAGGGGCACAGCTCTCTAGCACCCAGAGTCCACATAACACAGCTCCCTACCCCTTCTCCACATCAAGATCTCCAGAAACTGAATCTGGAGATGGCTTGGGAATTTCTGAATGAACAGATGGGAGTGCAGTGTTGGGTGGGTGTCTCAATCAGGTCATGTTGGAGCCTCAGGATGGCGTGTGCTACATGGTTCTTCCTGTGAACAGGGCTTGGTAAATATAGAAACTGTGAGGTTCCCCTTTAGCCCTTAACCACAGCTGATTGCTGAGGGTCTAGCTGCCTACTCAGACCATTTTCTTGTTCTAACTCATCTCAACCTGATTTTTCTGGGAGGAAGGTAGATAAATAGCTGCTTAGGAAAGTTAGAAGGAGTGGCAGTCACTCCCCAGAGGGTTGAACCCATCTTGTTGTTCCCATGCAGTCTTCTATCCCCACCTTCGGTCCTGGGGCTTGAACTCTGGGCCTGGGCGCTGTCCCTGAGCTCTTCAGCTCAAGACCTGTGCTCTACCACTTGAGCCACAGTGCCCCTTCTGGTTTTGTGGTGGTTAAGTGGAGATAAGAGTCTTATGGACTTCCTTGTCTGGGCTGGCTTTGAACCATGATCCTCAGATCTCAGCCTCCTGAGCAGCTAGGATTTTGAGCATGCGTCACAGGCACCCAGCTTGTCCTCATCTTCTAAGAGGTAACAGCTCTCTGTAATAGACGTGCACAAATCCCATGCCATGCAAGAGAAGAGAAATCACCCCAGTCACCCACTTGTCCTTCTTATAGGAATTGTATTCTCAATGAGTTAGGATCACAGAGTATAGAACTGGGGCTCTGTTTGTGGTTTGTGTGTGTGTGTGTTTCTTGTTGTTTTGGTCAGTCATGAGGCTTAAACTCTGGGCCTGGATGCTGTCTCTGAACTCTCCAGCTCAAGGCTAGTGCTCTCCCCCTTGAGCCACAGCACCAGTTCCAGTTTTCTGGTAGTTAATTGGCTATAAGAGTCTCACAGATGTTCCTGCCTGAGCTGGCTTTGAAGCATGATCCTCAGATCTCAGCCTCCTGATTAGCTAGGATTGCAGGCGTGAGCCACGTCACCCAGCTTAGGGGTGTGTGTGTGTATGTGTGTGTGTGTGTGTATGTGTGTGTGTGTGTGTGTGTGTGTGTGTGTGTGTGTGTGTTCTGAGACTGAGACTCACTCAGTATGTGGTTGTCTCTCTACCATGTGAGCCCTACCTCCAACCCCTGGAACTGAGGCTTAAAAGATCACCAGTCCCGTTTCCCTATTCTTGGGTAGGGAAGATGTTATCCCTCTCTTTCACACATGAGGTATTTCCAATGCTTTACCAAGCTGGGAACCAGTAGCACATGCTTGTAATCCTACTTGCTCAGGAGGCTGAGATTTGAGGATCCCAGTTTGAAGGGAGGCTGAGATTTGAGGATCCCAGTTTGAAGCCAGCTCAGGCAGAAATAGCCATGAGACTCTTATCTCCAATGAACCAGCAGAAAGCCAAAGGAAGCTGTGACTCAAGTGGTAGAGGAAGGGCCTTGAGTGAAAAAGTTAAGAGACAGCACCTAGGCCCAGAATTCAAGTTCTAGTACTGATGCCACACACACACACACACACACACACACACACACACACACACACACACGTTTTATCAATAATCCATTGGGAGTGTTGGAGTAAGGACTGGATGGTTACATCTTTGTAATGCACCTGCCAAACTATTCCTTTAATCATAACTGATTTTTTGGTCCATTTTCCAGCTCAATGGCACCAGCAGATCCCACCACCTATGTCTGTCCGACCCAGTGGCAGTCGCTACGGATCTCTCACCAGTAAAGGACTTGACATATTTTCTGCCTTTTCCTCCATGGAAAGCACGGTGGTGTATTCTTGCTCTTCTCGGAGTGTGGTGGAGAGCGATGAACTTTAAGGATGTCTGGGTGGCTGCTGTGTGGAGGGGGCGGACTGAGGAGGGGGAAGGAGCACAAGCCACACAGGGGGTTCCAAGCAATTGGCTTTGAGTGAGTTCCCACACTGCTGGATCTGTGGCAAGAAACGCTTTGAACAAGGTTGGCTGGGGACTCACATTGTAGGCTGAAGGAGAGCTATAGGGCCGGGCCGCCTACAGATTCCAGCAACAACAACCAACACAACAAAATGTGAGCAGACAATACAAATGAACCAAAGATGTCATACCACCGCTGTCCACTGCTTTGGGGAAAAGCTAGCCTGCTTCTTGAACCCTGTTCTCTTAGTGATGCTGAGCCCCGTGAGAGGCAACTGGAGGCCCTATGCCTGGGCTGAGAGAAGCCAGACAGTAGAGAGAGCTTAGGATAGAATGGTTTTATCCAGCAATGCCAAGGGAACAGGTGGGAAGGTCGCCATCACCTTTCTCTGGTCAGAATGGTAGCAGTAGTTTTAGTGAATTCATTCAGTCTGCTTCCAGTCAGCATTAGATCAGGCTGTGCAACCCACAGATGTGCTGAAACGCTTTTGTTTTGTACATCCTGGGTACATGCAGCCACATAATAAAGTGCCAAAATGTGCTTGAGATTTAAAAAAAGCAAATCCCAGAAACACTATTGTACAATGTGCTTATTCTGTGGCCAAAATAGAGCCCTAGCAGTTCAGCCATACCATTTTCTTTTGGATGGGAAACTATTTTTTTCTTCTTTCTGACTACATATGCATAGACTCTAGAACTGAAGGGCTGTTAATAAAGCAATCTGAAAAAAAAGAGGGGAAAAAAAGGAAAGAAAAATATTCTGCAGGGCTGCAGGGTCATTTTTTAAAGAGCCAGCTTCAGCCAGTGACTTATGCCTGTAATCCTTGCTTCTCAGGAGCCTGAGATCTGAAGATCCCAGTTCAAACAGAAAAGACTGAGACTCTTATTGCCTCCCAAAAAAGGTGAGGGGCTAGAAGAGGAGCTGTGGCTTAAGTGGTAGAGTGCCAACCTTTAGCAAAAAAGCTAATGGATAGCACCTAGGCCCTAAGTTCAACCCCAGTACCAACACACACACACACACACACACACTCACAGAACCAACTTCAATTGGCGTGTCACCTGACAGGTTCCTGCCCCTCATTGAAAGTCTGGAAGCATAGGTGGTAGTGAAGAAGGAAAAGATGCAAATGGGAAGAGGAAGTGACGGGGGGAGTTGGTATCTCACCATAGCAGAGCAGGCGCCGATCAAACAGCCTTCCAGTGTACAAAATATTATGCTATGTGGGGAAATGGAAGGGAAAGGATATGTGCATCTTTGTAGTAAGTCACCCATTCAAAACCTGTCTGTAAACTTACTGACTCTTGAACCTAGAAGAGTACCTAGCATCAAATAGACACTCAATAACTATTTGCTGGTGAATGAAGCTTATGAGAGATGGTGGAATCTACAATTCACAGACCAGTCTAACACCTGCCAGTGGGAGTGGTCTCCACAGCACAGTGCACGCCAGGCTCACTGGAGAGATAAACTGGGGTGTCTGCTGTCAGTCCCATTTGCCCTGATCTCTGGTATTCTCTGTACCCCCTTTGCTGGCATCTTGCTCAAGTGATTTAGATAGAGGTAGGAATTTCTTAGAAAGGCTTGAAACTTTCTTTGCGTCAAGGCAAAGATGCCCAGTACAAAAATAAATTCATTCACTTAAAAAATCAGTTGTGAATCTATTTTGTATAAGGTATTATGCTAGATACTATGGACGATGCGAAGAGAAGACACAGTCCCTGCCCTCAGGGAGCTTGCAATCTAATAAGAGATCATATTTAAGGCATATGGAATGCTTCTTTCTTTAGGCAAAGATGTATTCGTTAGAAAATGGAAAGTTTCCAGTGCTCTTTATCCTATTTTCTCATAGCTTAAAAAAGTATCTTGAGCTGGGCACCAGTGGCTCACATCTGTAATCCTAGGTGTTCAGGAGACTGAGATCTGAGGATCAAGGTTCAGAGCCAGCCCCATTGGGAAATTCCATGAGACTCTTATCTCTATTGAACTACCAAAAAGCCAGAAGTGGAGCTGTGAATCAAGTGGTAGAGCACTAGCATTGAACACAAAGCTCAGGGACAGTGCCCAGACCCTAAGTTCAACCCCCAGGAGGGGCACAAAAAGAAAAAGAAAGAAAAGAAAGGGCATCTCAATCTGCTTTGATTTCTTTTTTTTCTCACTGACATTTTATTCTCTACTTGATTTCCTAATAAAACAAAACACCAGGACTGGAGATATGGCTCAAATGGTAAAACACTTGTTGAACAAGTGCAAGGTATTAAGTTCAAACTCCATACTAAGTACATATACATACATACATACATACAGGATAACAGAACTAACTTCAAAATTCCATATGACAAATTTCAGTCCATTATTCAGCAGAACTATTAGGTTTTATTTCCGTGTGCATGCGTGCATGCATGTGTGTGTGTGTGTGTGTATGCAATAACAGTAGCAAACCAGTAGAATGCATCTACACCTGTAAAATATGTCAGCAACAAGCTCTGGTATGAAATCTCTTATAACCAAGAATCACACTCTACCCCCAAGATCACTTCTGGATTGTACACCTATCATCACATCATATCTACTTCCCTAAACCCAAGACAATTCTCCCAGGGAGGCACATTCTGCATCTCAATTTGTGAGCTTTCTGAATCCTTTCTGCCATACTGTGTTCAACAAGAACACAGAGATATATTTAAGCACTAGGTGGCGCTGTATCACCAATATATAATGAGCCTAAAAATTCTTGAAATGGGAGCATAGGTTGTGTTTAAATCGAGATTTCTCAGCCTCAACATTCCTACCATTTGGAAGTGGATTATTCCTTGTTGTGGGGGACTGCCCTGTGTATTGTGGATAGTTTGTTGCATGAGATACCAGTAGCAGACTCTCCCACGTTGTGACCAGCTCTCCAAACACTGCCTTATATTCATTCCCTGGGAGGCAAAATCTCCCTCTGTAGAGAACTGCTATGCTGAACAAAACAATGTCTTGCTTTAAGAATTCTATTAGCATTCAATTGTGAAGGGAATTTGGATAAGAAAATTTAGTTCCACTGATGTGTTTCCAACATATATCATATCTTAATAAGCCAGCCATTCCTCAACCTAGATGAATAATTTCTAGACACCATCACATCCGTATAATCCAGGTAAATGTTCAGGCATTTTCGCATCCTCTTCCCAATCAATCCATTAGTCCTATAAATTCTAATATTCCTCTTATAGTCAGGCCTTCCTTTCTACTTCCTGAGGCTTCCATTTTCTCCATTTCCCTCAATACTTCTGACTTTAACTATAAAAAAAACTTCTACCTGGTCTTGCTGCCTCTGGCTATTGCTACTTCTCTCTAGATCCAGCACAGATGGCACCAGCAGGTCATTCCACCCCAAAGTACAACTCTGCTGATGTTACTCCCTCATCCTCTAACTGGCAGTACCAGCTGGTAGGTACCAGCTATTTTGCTTTGCCCTGTAGTATTCAAGCTGGCATGATTCCCAATATGACAGAGAACCTTTCAGCCCCTCAGAAAGTATACCTGATGCAGCATAACCTCTTTCCAACCACATGCTTCTCCTCTGATTCTGTCAATCTCTACCTATGGAAAGCTTAATCTTACCTGTTCCTTAAAGCCCATCCCAATGGCCACTGTCTCCATGGGATATTTTCTTATCACCTTGGGTCTGCAGGAAGAGATCATTTGGTAGTTATATAGAGCACAGTTTCTGTACATATGCCTGCCTCCTCCCTTTGAACTTGCCCCTTTTAGCTACTTGTTGGTATAGACTACAGTAGACTTGAGTTTGTCATTGTGCCTTTGTCCTTGTTAAATTATACAGGGTAAACATCTACTAACCATCACTGAGTCTAAGCAGTGCACATTAAAAATCTTCTGGAGGGCTTAAAAAAAAACTCAACAGCCAAGCCACATTCCAAACCAATTAATAAGTCCTGGGGTTGTGGCACAGTCATACCTAGTTTTCATTCTTTTTTTTTTTTTTTGAAGTCCAAGACTGGAACTCTAATTTAGAACCTGCCACATTCACTCATTGCCTAGCCCTCTACCAACTGAGCCATGCCTCCAACCCCTAGTTCTTAAAGCCTTCTGAGTGGTTTTCACAGTGTAGCCAAGGTGGGAAGCATCATTTTTATTACCATGATTTGTCTCCGGATTTACCCAGAAATGTGCAAAGGGATACAGATGGCATAAGCTGTGGACATATCCATGCAGAATGCTGTTCCCTGGTTGCACAGACAGTGCCAACCAGGAAAATAGACACAAGCACAGACACTTACCTTACTAGACCCTCTTGTTCTGTGCCAAACTCACTGGACATGCAGAATTCATGAAGCCTCCAGAGGAAACAAAAAAAAGAAAGTTGGGGGTAGGTGATTAGCTTTGTTTAACAAAAGCCATACAGTTCCATGAGTGCCCTTCTCTACAAGTACCTACTGACGGGCTCTTCATGATATGGTCCTTCACACAAGTAAGGATTAGAGGGAAATGGGCAAAGAATACAAATTTGAGTTTTAGAATAATGAGCAATTCATTCCCACGACACTCATTACTATACCATTATCTTTAAATATGATGATAAGCTATGTGTCTCATGAGGAGTAAGATACTTTTTTTGTCAGTCATAAGGCTTGAATTTAGGGCATGGGCTCTGAGCTCTTATTGTTCAAGGCTAGCGCTCTACCACTTTGAGCCACAGTACTACTTCCGGTTTTCTGGTGGTTAATTGGAGATAAAAGTCTCATAGACTTTCATGACTGGGTTGGCTTTGAACCTTGATCCTCAGATCTCAGCTCCAGAGTAGCTAGGATTACAGGAACAAGCCACCAGTGCTTAATTTTTCTTAGTAAGTAAACATTTTCTATTCATTTACATGTTAAAATTATCTAACCTTAGGCTGGAGGTGTGCTCGGTAGTACAAAAA